TCCTCAATGAGGAAAAGTAATTAAAACATCTTGTTTCTGGCTAAGCTGGATCCTACTGACTGATCTTTGACAAGTACATGTGTATTTATTATACAATTATGCACCACCATTTCCATCAACAACAGACCACATTTAGGACAGTGGTTCCATAAGATTATAATGGAGCTGAAAAATTCCTATTCCCTACTGATGTCATAGCTATCGGTCATAATATTGTAGCACGAACTATTTCTCATGTGTTTATGATGGTGCTGGGATGAACAAGCCTACAGCACTGCTAGTCATATGAAAGTACTATGCACAGTAACAATGATAATAAACAATAATATTACTGACTTACATACTTATTATACTACACTTTTTGTCACTATTTTCTAGTGTACTCTTACTTTAAAAAGCTATTATAGGGCTGGAGATTTAGCTCAGTGGTTCTGCCGCCTGCCTCGCAAGTGCAAGGTCCTGAGTTCGATCCCTAGTACCAAAAAAAGAAAAAAATCTATTATAAAACAGGGCCCCATGTTATACCAGCAGCAATCTCATACATCCTGTGCTTACCACATCTTTTGATTACATCGTTTCTTGTGATTGACTTAGTCTCCTGTAATTCTTGTACTATATTCTGGATGGATAATAGTCTATACCACCTATGCTTATGTAAGTATATTCATATATTCTCTCATGTTCTGACAATGACAAAATTACCTGATGACCCTAATGACGCATTTCTCAGAACATGTCCCCATTGTCAAGATAACACACAATTGTAGTTACCGTATGTTTTGTAACTAGTCACCTCAAAACTCAATGACTTAAACCGACAATGTTTAAACTATTAAACAACAAGTATTTCTCATGATTCAGTGGATTGACTATGCTCCACTGGCCAAAATTTCTGCTCTAGATAGTGTCCATAAAGTCATTCGTGTGACAGTATTGAGCTGGGGGATTGGCTGGGATGGAATATCCAAGATGGTTTTCCATCTTTCATGATCTTTCCCTCACATCCTCTCACTATTCAAGAGTGTAGCTTGTGTTGTTTTACAACATGGAAACTGGTTCCTGAGAGGAAAAGCCAAAGCTGCTGGGCTATGTTCTCAAACGGGCTCAGCATCCTCCCTGCCACAATCAAAACAGGTGCAGGGCCCGCCAGATTTGAGGGAAAGAAGATAGACTCCCTTTCTTTGTACATACAAGTGAAAGAGGAAAAGATAGCAGCTATATTTACACACAAACTTCCATATCATTTGTTTTCTTAGCTTGACTGGGACCTGAGACAGTTGCTCTGTAAATCCTGAGTCTGGCTGGGGGTCTACTGTCTCAGGCTTCTCATGTGCCCCTCAGAACCTTGCTACAGAATCACTTCACTTCTATGGTGGTCCCCTGCCAGATTCTCAAATCAGGCCCATTGTCTACATCCTCAGCCCTAGAGCTAATGAGACTTCTGCACATTTTTGGTGCTGCAGACAGCTGAAGGAAGCCTTCTCCAACTCACTGCACAGTGCCACCATTTTCACTATCCAGGCTGATTGGTCCAGTGGAGCCAGCTTGCAGGGGAGGCCACTCCAGGAATTGGAGGAGAAGATACAGCTGGCCCACTAATGCAGTACATGAAAAATACATTTCCTGATCAGAGAAGGAAGGCACAGATTCTTTGGAATTTGAATTCCCCCTCAAACACCTCTCACTAGTCCTTCCTCCAGGATTTTGCCAGGACTTAAATCAGAACATACATGGCTAAATGCATGATTTTCATAGTCTTCCAGGACAAAGGGACTTTTCCTCATTTCCTTATTCCATCAGATTTAGGCCTTTCTTTATAAAAGGTAGCATTTTTTGGTCTACTACATTAGCTTCTAGGGAAGATAATTAGGCAAAGATGGAGATTGCTGATAAAATAGCTTAATATCTTTTGAAAATCCCAATAACGAAGTGCATCTGTCATAGGGACACTTAAGTATCAGCCACTGGGGTGGTGGACTGGGGACTGTGCCCAGGAGTCTCACTCCACTGTGGCTACAGGAATCATTTCTTTTTGGAAGATACTATTGCCAGTGAAGAGCTTCCAGGAAGACAGGGCATAAGAAGAAACCCAGAGGATCTCTTCATGACCCACCTTATGTTCCTCCTATCATCAAACACATGCATCTCTATGTGAACACTCTGAAAGTCCCCATCACCTGGGCCTTCCAGAGATCAGTCACCTACTTTATCAGTCTTCCCTCCCCTTCAGACAGCAGAGACCCTGTTGCTGCTGCTTCCTGTCTTAGTCTGTTGGTGCTGCTCTAATAGAATACCTGAGTCTGGGTAATTTATAAAGCAGAGATTTATTTCTTACAGTCTTAGGGGCTGGCAAGTCTAAAGTCAAGGGGCCACATTCGGTGACAGCTTTCTTGCTTCTTCATCCCACGGTGGAAGGCAAAGGGCAGAAGGGGATGGAAAGAAAGAGAGGATTCTCCTGAGAATGCCACCTTGCTTGAAAATAATTAAACAAATATGTATACTTATGTGGAATAGCATCTGCCACAACACTTTCATCATTCCAGATAGTTTTAAACTTAAGACATTAAATAGTGAAAAAGAAAGAAAGAACAAAAAAAGGAAGAAAGAGAGAGGAAGGAAGGAAGGAAGGAAGGAAGGAAGGAAGGAAGGAAGGATAAAACAACTGCGCAGTGCTTAGCCCTAGAAAAGTCATTGATGGGACAAAGTCCCTAGAATGTTAGAATTGACCTTACATGCCCTACACAAAACTTACACAGCCTTAATTCCAACTAGATTGTGTTGATTTAGAAGATTCAGAAATTGTACCCTATGATTCTTCGAAGGCCTGAAGATGTGTTGTAGATACCTAGATGTGTGGTGCCTTCAGTCTTCATATTCACGTGGAATAAGAAGACCAGAAGCTAATTACTAAATCCATATCAAACACAGAGTGGAAACCTATGAGAGAGTCAGAACCTAGTGGGACGATCCAAAGAATTTTTCCACCAAGAGAGATCTGCTTTGAATTATGCTTAGCTAAGACAAGGCAACATGGTGTCTCAACAAGAACACTGAACCAGGAGTCAGGTCACATTGATTCATCCCAAGCTTTGGTTCTACCACCAACTACATACATGAGGCTAGGTGACTCAGTCTCTCCTAGCCTTATTTTCCTTGTCTACAAAATGAAGGCTTGGTCTAAATTTCTCCTCTGATAATATGTTCATAGTAACTAAGCACTAGTGAGAAGGAATAGAAGAGACCAGATCATACTAAATTCTGGTCACCAGTAGGCTGGTATTGAGCTCTCTGAAGTACTAAGTGAGAAATAGTTACATATGTCCATTAGGATCCAAATATTGAGTTTCTTAATAAAACAAGTTGGAGTAGAACTGGAATAGGACTGTGATTGAAACCTGTCTTTCTGTTCTTTGCATCAAGATTGTACTTTGGGAGCCATGGAAGGAGCAGCACACACACACCCAGCTAAATGGAGCCAGGTGGTCCACTTCTTGTTGTGTGTTGCTCCAGACCACGTAGAGCAGAGTGGTGCTTATCTTGTAGGCAGGAAGCCCTAAAGAGAAAGCCTGAAAAAGCTGAACTAGTTCCATTCATTCCTGATGTCACCTACTGGACTCCTCTGTCTTCATCCCTTAGTATCTCAGACCACTATAACGAAATCATATATGCTGCTTGGCTTGTGAACAATAGGAATTTATTTCTTACAGTTCTGGAGGCTGGAAAGTTCAAGGTCAAGGCGACAACAGATTCAGTGTCTGGTGAGGGTTCATACATGACACTTTCTAGCTGTGTCCTTACATGGTGCAAGGGGCAAAAGAAAGAGCCAATCAGCCTTATTTTAATAGGGGCACTGATCCCACTCATGATGGAACAGTTGTAACTTAATCACTTCTCCAAAAGCCCTGCCTTCTAGTATTATCACCTTAGGATTTCAACATCAGAATTTTAGGAGGACACTGCATCCAGACCATAGCACCAGAGAAAAAAATGGTGGGAATTATAAGAAGGGGATATACAACTTTTATAATTCATTAAAGAGGGAAGAAATTCCTGTTTTTCCAAATGTTTGGAGTGAGGAAAAAATTGTTTTCCTTACAAGCCATTCTTAAATTCTTGGATATTTAAAGGGAAAGGATACATGACAAGTGGGAAGCATGGGCTATGGAAGGGAAGTTTGGGAGACATCTTCTTAAATACCAGCCCACAAATAGGCAATGAACAGATTATAACTTTCCCTTACCCAGCCTTTCCCACACTCATATATAATACTTGACAAGAAGCTGAAAGTTCATGAAAATGATTGAAAAGTTTTGTTATACATGGCCTTAGTTAAAAGCAAGCAATATCCAAAAACAATATCCTAAATTAGACATAGATTAATTATGAGGGAGGGAGAAAATGAAAAGGGTCAATATTTATTGAGTATCTTCTATTTGTCAGGAACTATACTGTGTGCTTTCTATACATGAATTAACCTTTACAATGAGTTAACCTTTGCAATGACATTAATCCTCAAGTAACCCTTGCAATAACTTCCTTATAAAGGTAAATATACTGCGGCTCAGAGAGATTAAGTAAATTGTCAAAGATCACATAGTTACCATGAAACAGAACCAGGACTAGGACTCAAGTATTATACCAAAGTCTATGCTTTTGTTTGTTTTAATAACCCACCGTACATCTAGAAACACTTTTATTCAATCCAAAGATCTCAAAGAGATTGTAGTTTTTGGAGAGTGTTATATGTTAGGTAACAATATAATAGTTTGGGAACTAACTAAAAGCACCAAGAAAATAATTTTTTTTTTTTTTTTTTGGTAAACAGACATTTATTGAGTATCAGAATCCTAGTGAGTGCCTGGACCTGGACCACCAAGCCCTGCGGTGAACAACCAAGGCGTGCGCTCCTCATCCCGGGCTCTTCGGGAGGGGGTGGGCGGTCTGAGGACAGCTGCTACCTACAGAGGGTCTGCGAGGGGACACACAAAACAGCCCCAGAATGGGGAGGTGCATCTCACAGGTACATTTATTCATGCCTCAGAGCCAACACTACTTATGCAGGTTACAGTGATGTTCTGTGCTCCCATCTGACACAGCTGGCTTAGATTTACAGGCAGACTGATGTTTCGTCCCATGTGCACTCAAGAGAGCTGGTTACTGATGGCCGTGAGAAGGTGCAGGACTTGAACCTTTTAAAGCTTTACTTCTTTTATCAGCACTTCTGATTTTATAAACAATGAAGCTCATCAACCCCATTCCTACCCAAATCTCCTGGTAAACTTGGGTATAGTATGGCTCCAAGAGGACCCAGACATTTTTAATGAAGCTTTGAAGCATCTTGGCGGGAACAACCGTCCAGGCCGCGCCAGACCCCACCACGCACTCTCGAAGGTCACCTGAAAATAAATATTTTTTCAGTGCTGGGAATTGAACCCAGGGCCTCATGCAAACTGGGTAACTGCTCTGCTATTTACTAAGCCACTCAACCCCAGGACTGAGAATATTATATTCCACAAGTCTACTAGTTCTATTTTCCGTGGATTAGAAAGCAAAGTGATGGATGCCTATAGCCTGGTGTGAAAATTAGACCTTGTAAATGAGGTAATAGGCAAGATGGGACAAAGGACTAAAGTATCACTGTATCCCTAATAATTGTGTCTTACAAGGAAACTATGTTGGCCCTCAGTGAATTAAAAAACATGAGCTGTGATGACAATAATTATGTCATGTTCAGGGAATAAGAGTAAGGATGAAGGAGGAATTCAAGATGTCGGCTCACTAAAGATGGATTCTTGGAGGCTAATCTAAAGCCTGGACTTGCTGAACCAAAAGGACTAATGCTAATCCAGCACTTGCTTAAAAGAGGCACCAGGAGCTAATGATAGGATCAGGCTCCTTGAAAAAGTGAACAGTGGAGACCACAGAACACTGACAGATTTGTTTTTAAAGCCACCATGAAGGGCCAGGGATTTAGCTCAGTGGTTTTGCCTCCTACTATGCAAATGCAAGGACCTGAGTTCGATCCCTGGTACCAAACAATAAATAAATAAATAAATAAAATTAAGCCACCATGAAGAAGTCAAACCAACATCTCTTTCTTAAGTTGAACAAAGTACTAGCTATTCTCCATACACTGGACAATGCTTCTCTTCTGTCTCTGGAAGTAATTGTCATATTATAGTTAGGATATGGTATTTTGCTTAATGAATATGTCTAGATTAATTCCTCGCCAATCTTATTGTCAGGAAATGAGGAGTCACAAAGAAGTGCGTTTTCCAGGGAACTGAAGCTTAGACTGTTCAAGTATCAAACTTTTTGTAAGTTTAGTCATTTTCATGGAAATTGTAATAAAATGAATTCCATTCCTCTCAGCTTCATTAAACAGAATATATGAACATCATTTAACTTGTTCTTGATGGCTCTGAGTCCTTGCTGTGAACATCAGCTACACCACTGGGCAGTGGCACAAGATGCCCTCAAGGGCTCATGAAATATATGGGGCTTATGTGCGTGTCCACTGCAATCTTTCCTGGACCCAGAGGTGGGAAATGTCCTGTCTTCCAGGACCACCATGGTGGCTTCTCATGCTAGGTCCTACATCTGCATTAGTTTCAAGTCCTTCTGCTTTTACCAACAATTCTCCTAATAGATAATTTATAACTTTTATGATGTGATAGCTGCTATGGAAATCAAATCACCAAGCTTTTCAAACGTGCCTCCATATTCATACAGAACTCTCTATCATGAAGTTATAATATAAAGGCTTAGAAATGACCCCATGCTTATGCCACAAATAAATGACACAGTCTTCCTATAATTTCATCAGTACTTTCTACAGTCACTATTGTATTCTGGATGCTTATGGTTTTCACAATCTGACCATGAGATGGACAGGATATTATTGGTATCTGCAGGCGTGGTTGTCTGTTTTCTAAGATGAGGTCACTCAACACTCTTGCCTCAGAATTAAGAATGTTCAAACAATAGCTAAAAAGGACAGAGCCTTGTTGTATCATTTGCTTTTGCTGTGTAACAAACGACTCCAAAATGCAATAGTTTACAATAGCAGTTGTTATTTCTCACCATTGTATGGCTCGCTGGGCAATTTTTCTAGTCGAGGCATATTCACTTGGGGCTCAACTCACTCACATGTCAGGGACCCTGCTGGAAGAGCTGAGACCTCACTCCATGTCATCTCTTGGTCTCTAGTAGACAAGTCTAAGCTTGTTCTTGTGGACAAGAGAAAGTGAACCCCATTATGCTAGCACTTTTAAACCCTCTACTTGTGTTACATTTGCTAATGTCCCAGCAGCCAAAGCAAGTCATATGACCAAAGCCAAATTCAAGGGAAAAACGGACGCCATATCTTGATGGGACAGGATGCAAAGTCAGTGCAGAGAAAGACACATATAAAGATGAAAGGTTTGGGGACACATTCTACAATTTACCACATTCACAGTCCATGTGCCATGGCTCAGTGTGTGCCCCACATGGAAACTCCATCCATTTGATATGCTGAGCTAAGGCTGGCCTTCCTGCCCCCATCAGATCTCTTGAAAGAGTTGCTGTTTGCATCACCTTCACTTCCTCATTCTAGATTCACTTCTTAATTCTTGCCAGTTTCTGCAACTATTTCAGTAACTAGATTACTAGCCCATTGATCAATGACATCTTCTCAGTCTTTATCTGTCTTGAATGTTTTGTAATTTACAAACATTAGCACAATTAACCTCCTTTTTTTTGAAACTCATGTCTTTAGTTTTTATTACAAGTAAATACTTATTTTTTTGCTACTTTATTGACTGCTTTTTCTATTTTCTTTTCAGAGCTCTTTTCCTCTCTCCATGATTAAACAAAATTCTCAACTACCTTTTCTTTATCACATTATCTACATAAACTCATTTGCTTCTTGACTTCATAATTAACTTCCAGGCAAATAATTTCACAATCTATATCCCCAATTCCTAAATTTTGTCTCAGAATTTGCCTTCATTTTTCTTTAAGTGGCCTATTGAATATTTCTAACCAAATATTTTATCTATATAAAATATAGATAAAAATATATAGATCTGGACGGTTGTTTTATCTATTTTATCTAGTTTCTCTGAAAACTATTTTGACTAGAAACAAATAATGTAGTGATGAGAGCTTGTAACTATAATGTTCATGAACCCTTTAGATTATTCAATTCTACAGTGTCATTCAAATAAAAAATACTATGATTGGTGGAGGGAAGCAGTGCAGGGCTAACTAGCATTTGCTGAAGCCTCATGTATGTGAAGTGCTGTGGTCTTTTAATTGGCAGAGTTGAATATCTAGGATTGCTTTCAAATAGTAGATAAAGCAGTCCATCTGATTTTGATATAGAATCTCCAGGATAGCTTGCAGACACTGATATCCCAGTGAAGGTTGCAGTAACACCAAAGGAAATGAGGCTGTGGACATCTCTCTTGTCTGACAGCATCGAATGGCTTTCAAAGACTCTCTGCTAAAGGTATCTTAGGGTTTGCAAAAAAGAAACATCCTTCCCCTAAGAAAAGTCCAGTTTCTGGGGGAAATGCATTACAGAATAAAATAGTAGTTCTCCTTTTCTCTCCCTGATAAAACAACTTAAGAGACTTCTAGAACCCAAAGTAAGCACCTGGTAACATTTCTCCTGTTCTGAGATTTTGTTCTATGAAAGCGAAATCTGGTGATCATAAAATGAGTACTACTTCAGTTATATCCTAAGATAAAATCCTTGGCTAAATTTAATGATTAGCCAGTTCAGAGCTATACGTTTGTAGCCAGACTTCTACTCTAGTGTCACTCTTCTGAAGGAACTCTAGTAAACATAATTAATCAAGTCATCAGGATTAAGGTAAACTGGACTCTGAAGATGATCTGAGACGGTACTGATCACCAGAGAAGAGGTTCTAAAACTATGTTTCCTAGGATAATTTCAATAGTGTACCTTTGCATTTCCTTTAAAATATGAAATAAAGTACCTTTGCTTTGTTTTATTTTCATATCAACAATATACATTGAAGTTCCCATTCCCAAAATGGAACATGATGTGACAAAATGCAGGATGGTAAGAATGAATGAAACACCATCCTCCAAGAAGAAGCAGCCTACTGGGTTGCCATATGGCTAGAAGTGCATTAGTTTATCTCTTTTTGTTTTTAATTGGGTTGGGTAAGAATTTGTGAATGTTACCGATTCCTTTCTTCTCCTTTTGATTTGTTCGTATGGTCATAAATATTCTTATAGAGCAATTGTGACTCTTCTCATTGACTATATTCTCTGGGGGCTCATTCTAGAGGAAAGTGCTGCTTAAGTATTGTGTACTGAATATGAATTATCCTATATTGTTCATGCCCCTTACTGCATTGTCCTTCTTATTTTCAACGGCTAAAAGTACCACTGTTAGTGATTTTGGCTAACAGCATTGGAAGCAGATGAGATTTTAGCTCACGCCTTGATAACTGCATTGGCTCAGTCTAAGCTGAAGCCTTATTTTCATTAAAGGGAGCAGACATGCTGAGGAAGAAGGTGCTATTTTTACATAGGGACTTTTTCTACTGAAACCACATGCTAACACTATGCTGTTAAAATGATCTCAAGCACGCTGAGTTAGCTGAAGAGACAATATGCATGTTGCCAAAATCAAGGCAGTACTATTCTGAGCCTCCTCTCAAAGGTCCTCTAGCTCTCCTTGGTGGTCATGAAGAAGAGACCAGGAGAAGAGCTTGTGAGAAAGTAAAAATTACAGCCAAAACAGAGCTCCCTTCTGACCACCTATAGGCCGTTATTCAAGTTCTTGGTTATGCCATCATCCACTGAGATATGAAAAGTTTGGTAAATCAGATTCTGCATCTCACTAATATTTGTTGAGTTTTTAAAATTCTGGATATATATTTTAAGTAAAACCAGCATAAAACAGTACTAAGACTAACTTTAGAACATTATAAATAGAAGAAGTTTGGGCAGAGCCTTCTGAACTCAAATTTTTTAACAAAGCTATATCATCATTTATATTATTATGTATTATATAATATATTTTATGTAGAACATAATATGTTAAATATACGACAGGGACTTTACTAAGCACTTTACAAAGGCTCTCTTTTTACTCCTCACAATAATCTTGCCACACGTCTTTTATCTTCATTTGCAGAAGATAATGTTTCTTTTCTGGCCCTGATAGTAACTGTCACTATTTTTCCATACTAGGAACTGAACTTGGGACTACGTATGCTAGGGAAGTGCTCTCCCACTGAGCTATACCCTCAGCTCATAACTGTCATGTTAAAAGTTATACTCAGCAAAAAAAAAAAAAAAGTTATACTCAGCTAGAAAGTAACTGAGCTGGGATTCAAGCTTAAGTGTAATTCTCTAGTTCCAAA